CCCCAGCCAGCAAAGCTGGCTGGGGAATCCTGGGAGTTGAAGTCCATACCGCTTAAAGTTGCCAAGGTTGAGAAACACTCAGTTAAATCTTTTTCTCCAAAGCTGACCATCTGTCCTTCCTTTCTACAGAACAGTTTTCCAGGCGTCCAGGGCAAAAACGGAGATCAGGTCTGCTGCTTAAGCAGCCAGCAGGGCTTAATGCACCCATTCTATTTTTAAAGGCATCCCCGTCAAATTGCATATCTTGGAACTGGGTTTGGCTGGAACGGCCTCCAGCCCAGCTGAATCCTGTCCCCTTTAAAGCAGTTTGGGAGCCGATCAGTACAAACAGGAATAAACCCAAGGCCCAGTTGAGAGGCTTAGCAAAAGACCCCCCCAGAACCAGAGTCACTAACCACACACCTGTCTACTTCCTTTCTTGCCTTCCCAGCCCTTTTGCCGCCGCCCCCCCCCCAAATTCAGCAGAGGGCAAAATTAAAAATAAAACTCAAGGCAGCCCCAGGAGCTAAATTAAGCTTGCCCAGGTGGGTCTTCTGCAGCCTCAAGCCAGTCTCGGTGCAAAGGATTCTACATCCAAGCAGCCGTCTGCTCTCATCCGAAAGGGCTGGGCTCAACCCTGGTTTTACATGCTCAGAAATACACCTTATTTAGGGAGCATCTTTGCTTCTCCCGACGATAGGCTCCTTTTGGAATAAACCAAGGGCATGGCCTGAATTCAGGGCCAGGGTTTCCAAAAGAGGGACGCAGCGAGCCATGATGGAGCCAGGAGAGGAGCTAAAAGGGAAAACCGGAGACGGCCCTCAACCTGCTTCTCCAGCTGAGTTGAAGGCTCAACAGCTGCACTGGCGCAATGGGTTGGGGTTAACCCTGGTTAATTTTATGTCTCAGCGTAAAGGGGAAAGCCAGGAATGGGCTGATGTAGGAGGCAGCACCAGAAAAACGAGGGTTGCTCTTCCTCTTCTGCTATTATGTTGTGTGAATGCCGCCAGCTCGTCGGATTTGTCCTCCCCTTGCGCCCTTCCCTAATAGAAACGGAGCAT